TAGCCAGTTTCTTATAACGAAACATTGCCGATAATGGCATTCTCTTCCTTATCTGAAATTAGATTATATTATATAATACAAAATAATATCAACAATTTTAATAAATTTCTGTAATATATATAAAAGAAAGTAATACCACACTATTTCATTGAATAATGGAGTAGTGAAGAAAATCTGGATTTGACTATTTTTGTGTCCACCCCATCAGTTATCTGCTACTTGGAGCGTTATCACTGTCATGGCTCCATAACCATTTGCATGATTATTGAACCATATTCACAGTGTATTGTCTAGTAACAATACCCGATTACGGTGTAGGCTAGTCACCGGAAAAAACATAAAGTTTTAAGCTTACCCCTACAAAACTATAATCTATATGATGGCATACTCTACCTCTATCCGCAATTAGAACTATATGTAATTAAATGTTATAAAATAAAAATAAATAAATATAAATAAGAATCTGCGTTTCTTTTTATGTGAGACGCTACAAATATCAATAGATACTTAAGTCATTAGTCAAGTCCTCTATATATTCACACTTACGCGCTTTGTCTAGGGACTACCCAATCTCATAAGAGTGGAGAAGTATATGTGGAGAAGTAGATGTATGTCAATTCTTGGCAAGTAGTCAGCACTGACTTTGCCTATGTATAAAATAGTATAGATTTCAACCGGAAAATTAAATCTTAAAATAATATATATATTGTTTGGTATACAACCAAACAAGCTATCCTAAGTTTGAAGAAGTGTGAATGTGTATGTTCCATTTAAAAATAGTGCGCAATAATAAAGATTTCAGTATACCGTATTATCTAATAATCAATCTTTCATTAAAGCACTGGGTTCAGAATTCAAAGGATCTATATCGATTTAAAACTTTTAATGGTATAAGTAACCCGGAAAGTACTAACAAAAAATAACCAATGAATTACCCTAAAAAGAAACTGAAAACTTATTACAAATCATTTTATTGGATAAATAAATACATATAATGCAGCACATAAGAAGCAAAGACAGGTCTCAGAAGGTTATACTGAAATAGTTTAAAAAAAATCTAAACTTTTTACCTGTGGTTATACACTAAACACTTTAAGTTATATTCTTTAGAAAAAAGAAATCAACAATGGTTTATTTACTGGGCACTGCAAATAGAAAAAACAACTATATGATTTAGCCTGTCCAGAAATAAATATTCTGGAAAGTACTTCTTGAAATATATAGATGTTTAATAAATTATTGTGAAGTACTGACAAGGAGTAAAGGCAAGCACTTTGTGTTAGCATATATTCACTGCAGAGGACAAACAAAATCCCTAAAAACTTACTAAACCCGATTCAATCGAGCACCTATCATACATTTTTAATAATAATCAAAAAATTTCATGTAGTAATGGCAAATATCCAAATCTCCCAAAAAAAATTAAGTTTTAAGAGACAAGAAGTAGATCTAGCCCTAATAAATAGTTTACCTAGTAAAGAAAAAGTATAAAGAAAAATGTGAACGATACTATATATAAATCCGTTAAAAGATAACTTCTAAAGTATTTACTATAGAACACTCACACTTTAACACATAATTTTATACAAAAAACTTAAATAAATTATTTCATTTATTATAATATAAATTAAATTTTTTATATATTGAGGTTCCTTTAATAACATATATATTGTTTTATATTTCAATACTGATATAAACCATGTTTTAAGTTTTTTATTATATATTTTACTTACAATTTTTGGTACAGGGGGTGGTACTTTATGTCTAGCTAACTTCTTAAGATATTTTCTATGGACTTTCCACTCATCTTTATCCCATTTATGAATCTTAACTGGTTCCTTTGGAGGTTGAACATTAGCCAAACGGCTATATAAAGAGAAAAGACTACTACGAATAAGACGATTTAGTATATAATTACGGAATGGGTTTTCCCAAAGTTTATTCAGTGCTTTTTGTGACAAAAGTAGTTTTCTATATTATAAATGAAATGAAGAACTTAGTAATTAAACTGATAAGTTACTATTTGTAAAGAAAATAACAAACCTGACTTGGGGAAGTGCAAGCTGAGTAGTACGAGTTCTCTCCGCTTTGTCCATACGGATTAATTCAATAGGTTTTGGAAACTTACAGGCACAGGTTCGTACAAAACGCTCTGCTCTTTTTCTTAGCGGTGGTATAGCGAGTTCATGCAAACGTAGTCTCTTTGTGAAGGCCTTTTTGTGTTTATTTTCGAGTTTAGTTAGTTCACAACATAATCCTTTCATTAAGCAACGAACGTCCGTCGTAATCTCATCAACGATGGGACAGCATTCGCTACTATAAAGTGGGACAACCATTTTGAAGTTTTGCAAACTTTTTAATTTTTACAATTTTTTTGTTTGTTTTTTTTAATTTTTTTTTTCAATTTTTTTTTTTCAATTTTTTTTTAGTGCTTTTCTTCCATTAAAAATTTAGACTCAGGACTTGAAACAATTTAAAGATCAAAATGTTAACCGAACTGTACACAATTTTTTTTTATAATAATTTTGTATTAAATAAAATTTATTATATCTATTTAAAACTTCAATTCAAATTATAAATTTACTGACTTACTTGATTTAAGAATATTTTATAAATTATTACATATATAATTGATAGGTTGGAGAGAAATCCAAAATTTAAATTTGGTTAGGATGACGAGACTTTGTATGCCTCGTGTAACCATATTCACGTAAAAATAATTCCCTTTCAAAGCTATGCACAAAAACACGTACTAGAATTGTAGAAAAGTAAGGTATAAAAAACGTACTAGAATGTAGAAAAAGAAGATAACTGACAACTAATATGGTTCTTAATACATGTATGGGAAGCGAGCGTTGCACCCATACTTACCTCCTGAGTACACACTTGCGATTAATGAGTAAAAGTAGGACTGTAACTGAATAAACACTTAAGATATTTTCTTAACATTTTCATACTACTACTATATATTTTTCTTTAATAATTTTTTTTTTTTGTTTAATATTTATACAGAGGCTGTGACGATTCGTCTCTCAGTGACTAAATGTGTCTTTCTATTTCTATTAAATAAAAAATTACTCTTCAACGTTGATCTATTCTTTAGGTCAGTACTGTCCAGACCACTTACGACTACAGGCCAATACAAGTCATTGTGCATATTGGAGGGCCGCAGAAACAAGTACATACGTCCATGTTTTTTTTTTGGAAAATAATAAAAATACGAAAATAATATCAAACTTAATTTTGTTAATTTACTCATTTGAATTTATGTTTTTGGGAGACCATAAAGGGGAAAATTTGCGTAATTGTGGTAGATTAGAAACATGCTGAGGTCCGCATCTGGCGCGAAAGCCGTGCTTTGGACACCCTTGCTTTAGAAAATAAGCAATTTGTATATTATAAAAACTGTCACTTTAGAAGTCATAAAATATTAATATGAAATAATATACATACAAAAATAAATTTAATCATTTTTTTTATTCGCTATATAATTTTATTATATGATTGATAAAAAAATTATTTCGAACATATGGTCGTCATCGATGAAGTATATCCTGGAGGTTCAATTTTCTACTAATCTACAAAAATAATTAATATACGAGTACGAATAAATGAAATCATTTTTTTTATTCGCTATATAATTTTATTATATGATTGATAAAAAAATTATTTCGAACATATGGTCGTCACCCGATCAATTGAAGAAGTATATCCTAGAGGTCCGATTTTCTACTAATCTACATGTAAAACTTATACGTATAATAAATATAAAACTTTTTCGTCTTCTGTTTCAAAGTTTAATAAATTCATTTTCATACTTTTGCAAAATTTTAAGAAACGTTTTTTATTTTTAACGCAAAAATTTAAATAATAAAATTAAATGCAAATTAAAAGCTAAATTTTTATCAATGCAAACAACAATACAAAACATTTAAAAATTAAATTTAAATTAAAAAAAAATAATATCTAAATATTTTGTATTGTCACTTGAACAGAAAAAAAAATCGCAATATATATTGCAAATGAAACAATCACACAAATAATCATTATAGGAACTGAGTTTGATTCACTACTCCAGAAATCTTAATAAATATGGTATTGTTTGGGTTTTGCTAGCTCTATTAAACGCTTCGATATTTTCGCTTTAAGAGCTTTCCGCGAAATGTATGGAAGTGGTAAGTCTTTGGGAAGACTTCTAACTCTTGGTTCCGCCAAATCTATAATACGTTTACTGGGTTTTGCAGATAATGCTGATGAACTAATAACGTTAACATTTTTGCGCACATTTTGATCAGATAGCGTTACAGATGGCAGTGACAACTCCACAATACGTCTAGAAACTAAATTAAAATGTCAGGAAAAATAATTTCTAAGCGAGTATAATTTGTTTATGCTAAATTATCGAGCTTACCATTATAATGAAGAGCACTTTTTTTTACTTTAAAGGCATTAGGATTTGATTCTTGCATTAAGCTTTGTTTTGGTATAGCTAAATTCCTAATACGTTGACTTGGCTGATAATTCTGTAAAGCCCTTGTAAACTTCCATTCATTTATCGGTTCTTCCTGATGCACTTTTGGTTTGGCTAATTTTTTAGTGCGTTTCTTATTATATATTTTTTTTGTGCGCTTAAATATAAAAATTTATTCTCATATTAATTTAATTTTTAATTTATAAGAGCACAAAGAAGAATTTACCTCTACTTGTGGTGGTTTTGGTAGGGCCTTTGGTTTCGCTAAACGTTTGGTATAATCCGCATGAAACTTTAACTCTGCTTTAGATAACTGTGGCGGTTTCACTCTACAATATAAAATATTTTTCAATAAAATATATATTAATTATCTTTAGAACTTATTTCCAAAAACAATTGAAAAACAAATCAATTTAAAATTTGAGCAAAATTATTTTACTTCCATATTTATAGAGAAAGAAATAAAATTATATTTTATAGATGAATGGTTTTACGCTAAAATTATTAATGAATTATTCCCAGAGAAGGAGCGAAAAGCGTATGGTTATCCATAATATCGCCCATTAGTCAGAAAAACTGAAAGACATGCAATATATTGGGACATATTGATCTTGTTTAAATCAATACACATAATTCAGACATGTGAAACAATCTGAATTATTATATATTACTATAATACACATAATATATATACATATAACACATATAATTATATGTCTTATCATTATATAGTATATTATATGTATATTATATTATATTATATGGAATACATGTGGTTTCGTCGGTACGTAGAACTGTTGCTCGTTTAGATTTTCATGAAAATAGTGGCACTTCTATACAAGTGCCTTCGGAATCTAGACTTGTCCGCTCCCAGAACCACAAATGTTTCAAGTTCGCTGTGCTCAATAATATTTACGGAAACAAATCTCAGAATAGTTCATATCTATTATTCTATATATAATTACTATAACAAATAAATAATAATATAGAAAAAAAATTTCAACAAAACTCCATACATAGTTTATTTCATATGTATTTTGTAACTTCTTTGCAATACTATTCCACCTAACATCTTTTGTAATATACCTATTTTAAAAGACTTATTTGAAATGATCAAAACTAACTTATAGTTTCATACTTACGGTTTTTGTGGTGGTTGAACATTTCCTAAGCGACTATACACGGAAAGTAAACTTTTTCTTACTCTACGATTGACATTGCTCTTTCGGAGTGGTTCGAATTCATGAAATGCAGGAGATTTTTTCAATTCCAATAGTTTTCTTTAAAAGCAAAGACAATAATTGAATTGTTAATAGGAATATTCTTTATAGTAAACACATTTACCTCGATCTTGGTAAGGACAACTGTTCACTACGACTAAGGACAGGTTCTTCAAGTCGAACGATTCTTGTCTTATTTCTGTTAACTATATCAATATAAGGTGGTTCAAATTTGGTACTACGACATCGTGGAGATGATAAATCCCAAAGACGTCTTTTCTTCGTCACTGTATTGTCGTACCGCAACGCTAACTTCACCAAGTGTTCCAGTACTTCTGGTAACAATTTTTCACACATATCTGTCATTTTCCAAAATTTTAATGATGATGTATATTTTACTTGATTATTTGCTGAATTATTTGTATTCTTAATATATTTTGCAAAAGCATAAAACTTTTAAATTCTTGTGCTTTGAAGTATTTCTATTTTAAATAATATATTTCACTAAAAATTTTGGTTACCAAATCTGACATAAATTAAATTTTTCCGTTACTTAAATTTAAATAAATTTTAATTTAAAACATAAATACATTTTTTGATGATATTCGATAATACTTTTTATAAATAAAATAAATAATTAATTTTTAGCAAAAAATTTGTCTTTTATTATAAATTATACTTTACAGATATTTAAGGTTGCCCCATTTGGCTTCGTCTATATATAAAACTACAGATTATTTTTATTCCAGCACTCATATTTGTCAATGGCGGAAAATGGAGGAATTTTATTACTGAGCGATATTTAATTTTTTCCATTTTACAAAAAATCACCAAGGTGCATTATATCAATTATCTGCATAAAGCTGACCAAACACCTGATGAAGTCAAAACTTTTACAGCTACCGTTTAAAACTTACCAGATACACAAAATATAATTGATATTGTTTTTGAGTTGCCACCTGTTGTCAAATTAGGTATTTATCAATCCACCTAGTATGATGAGTTTCTTGGTTTATTATAAAAAATATATTATTTCAACAAATTAATAAACATTCTCACTCATTCAAAAATATTCTTTTTAAATCTCTAGGTCAGCATATAGTCTTAAATAAATCAACTCTTGAATTAAGTGCTACATATTTAAAAGCAAATACCCACCCTATTTAATATTTGTTTTCTATATATTCGTTTCAATTTCCCTATTATATGACATTATGACCTTTGCTGAAATTACTTGTGTCATCATATCCGAATAACGTATTATAGATTGCTTCAACTGACAAACAGAAACAGTCCCCAGAAAAACTCATAAAGTTCAGAGCAACCCTGTGATTTTTTTATGGAACAGATTGGTGCACAACTTTGATTCTATTAAAAAAGTGAATCATAACTGAAAGAACTCAATATTGATGTGACACACCAGTTAACCGCCAGACTAAACATTGGTCACTTTATCCTATCGTAGACCTTACAACTATGATAAGGTGTCCCTCTTCAGGAGAACACAATTGAGGCAGTTAAAAAGTTAGGCCACAATTGATAAAAAGGGGTCACAATTGATTAAACATAAAAAATGTAATCTTTGCTTGGAAGCACGTGAGAATACTAGTCACGTTCTTTATAACTCTCCAGCTTTAATTTGGGATAGGAGAATTAAGCAATTTAGCAGAAGACTTGGATCACATATTCTCATCTCTTATCTCAACTCAGGTGACATTTTGACCTGCATTTGAATAGCTGAATGTTGTGTGTTTATATAGCGTCAGTTTGTAGTAGGAACGTTAACAGATTTACAATCTCTGTTCTATTTAAAAAAGATTGTTTCAGAATACAAATCATTTTTAAAAATCAACTAACTATAAAAGTATAATGTTTAAACAAAATAATCATAGCAAATTACATTATAAAAAAAATTCGCATTCTGCACATTGACAACAAAAATGTTAATATTATTTAAATAATTCAAATGATTTTTCCATGAAAATATTTTATATTCAACTACTAGCTTTTATGGTAATGAACCACATTTGTGGTGGTGTTTAACTGCTTTGTTACAATATCTTAACTGCTCATGCTCCAGTTACCTACCACTCCGAAATAATGAGATTTAAAGCTGATAACACTTACAGATTTCATGAAATGCTGCAGACTGATGATACAACCTTCTCTGCTCGCACGCTGTGATTGCCAGGAACCGAAGGCAGTATCTTTCTATGGCTTATATTAAACTGAATAAGTTCTAGAATCTTAAACTTAAAAATTATATCTTGAAATATAATGTTTATTAATAACCTTAAATTATCAGGTTTAGCTCAGGAGTACTTTTCCAAAGTTAGCGTAATAGTTATAGTATACGTTGCTTATTTTAAAATCCTTTCAGTAAATAAGCTTCAAAATTTTTTTTTGCAATAATTGCTTACATAACATTTTAAACAATTGTTTTTTTTTCTATTGAATTTTATTGTAACTTCACAATTGCTTAAATATTTTTACAATTAAATAGTTTTAAGTAACTGCATTTGTCGATTAATTTAGATTTTTGCGATTTGGCCGAAATTTATTTGGAATTAAAAAATTATATTAAAAATACACTAAAATTTTGCTAATTGCGTTAAAGTTGATATAGACATAAAACTTAATAATAAACTGGCACAAAATAAAATGTTTGGATATTAATACTTAGCAGGGACAACGGACGAACAGGTTAAAAGAGATTACTAAATGGGCGGTATGCGAATAAGCAAAAAAAATATATAAAAATTTAAAAACAACTAAATTTAGAGAACATAATAAAATATTCGCCAAATTAATACTCAGGAAAAATATGCAACTAATAGGATAAATTATAAATTAATTAAATCACTAATCAAAATTTTGACAACTGTTGAGGCTATAAATGTTGTTTTATATATAGTGGTGTAGTGTGGTGTTGCTCATTAACTACTTCACCGCAACCACTTGAAAACTTTTCAAGACTATTTATGAATAGGAAGCAGTGACCACATCTATATATCATTTGTGACTTCATATTTGATTTGCGCTCAATGTATATTGTGTATTACAGCACGGGTAAAATCTTGTGTTGTTGACTGTCCACCCAAATCTTTAGTTTTGACTTTTCCATCATTTAGAACCTTGCTAATAGCATTTGTAATCATATCACTGTAGGATTGCAAATTAACATGACGTAGTAATTTCGCGCCACACAACAACATAGCTGTTGGATTAGCGACGTTTTTACCTACAGCCTCTGAGAAAGTATGTCGTGCACCCTTTAAATTATAAATGCGATTTAGTATATCATTAGATGTATTACATATAAACTCACTGGTTCAAAAACAACTGCTTCTGCTGAATAGGATGCACCCGCTACGACACCAGCACCACCAACTAATCCAGAAGCCAAATTATCGACTATGTTACCATATAAATTTGGTGTTACCATGACGTCAAACTAGAAAAAAACGCAATCAAATAAAATTTTGTATACCAAAGATATATGCATATAATTGCATACCTGATTCGGATTTGATACTAACTGCATAGTTGTATTATCTACAATCATTTTTTCGAACTGTATACGTGGATATAATTTGGCCATTGTTTCACATGATCTCAAAAACAGTCCATCGCCCAATTTCATGATATTTGCTTTATGGATAGCAGTCACCTTCTTACGATTGTTTTTAGTGGCATAATCAAAAGCAAATTTGGCAATGCGCATTGATTTTTTAGCTGTTATAATCTTTAGGCATTCGACGATTCCATGCACAGATTCGTGCTCTAACGCAGAGTATTCACCTTCAGTTTGTTCTCGAATAATAACAGTGTCGATATCCTTATGGCGTGTTTTTACACCAGGTAAACTACGCACATGTACAACGTTCGCATAAAGATCAAGCTCATTA